TCAAAGGCTGGCATCTAGGTATCTCCAGCGTTCAATCTTCAGCGTAATCAGCTTTTTCGAACTTTGATTAGTTGTGTAATCGATATCAGTACTAAGAGAAAGCAACAACAGAAAAACCACCGACTCGCAAATGGCATAGAAACTTTCCTGAATATTGATAGTACAATTTCTATTCAGTACACCTGGAACAAAGCACTTCTCCCCCCCCCCCATGTTCTTACATGCATAGCTGTTTGTTCAGATCGCATGTTCCATTGCGCTGCACTCGAAATTCCGGTGAATCAATGGCGTATGCGAGACCGGATTGTTTCGCACTTATTAACCTGTCCAGATTGCTGCAATCTTGCTCTGCTTTACATAGGACAAGAGAACCTCTTTAGTGTCAAGGATCCTTTCTGATTTTTTCTCATCGGCAAAGTCCGTTTCAGTAAGCGAATGCATTTTGTTGTTATCCTTTGCTGAAACGTCGTTTCCTGGTCTTTCAGTGCAGGACGGCACTTAGTGTTGGAAGACGATTAGAAACTATTGTAATGCAGAGGGGGAATCAGGCCTTGCATCACAATAATCTCTTCGCATTTCCTCATCTAAACCGGAAGTGGACCGCTCCTGCCTTCAAAACAATTCTCTAAACTGAGGCTTCCGGTCTACACAAAACCAAGCCGCTCTCACTAGCCGTATTTCTGAACTCCTTCTGTGCTCTGCATCTGAAAGCTTTCTTGTAACAGAGGCTCTGCTGGGCCATGTGAATCTGATGAGTCAGCCTGTAATTTCGCGTCAGCTCCAGAATGGCCTGAAACGTTAAAGGGTGAAGGAGCTCCGGGATCGTGAACCTTTATTCGTGAAAAGTTGGAGCGGTGTTTTCTCCTTTCTTAAAAATTGCAGTGTGCTAACAACGCACGCAAAGTCGAAGAGTGAAACCTCAAGGTGCACAGTTCTTTGCTTCGTTTTCTCACACTTTCACACTTGTTAATTGTCAGCTTTTGCACACTGACAGCTATGCAGTTATATTGACAGTGATCATTATCCCGTCTACCTTGGGACAATGCAGTCCATATCTGAGGGCAGTAAGAGGCGTGGCTGCGAGATCGGTAGGGTCCAGATGAAAGAGAGACGTGTGCACAAGAAAGGGTAGTCTGCATGAAATACGAACTCACGCTCCTTGCAGTCCTTTGGCATGGGCACTATAACGTAGAGATGGGTATTTCGCTCACTATATGCATGGTATTACAAGAGCTAAACGTACCCTGCAGCTCTGACGCTTTGGAAAAACTCCAAAGCGTCAGAATTGCAGGGTCTCTGAAATGCCTAGATTTCAAAATGTTGTTGTCCGGAACAAGCCATTCGAAAAACTTGAAACCGTATTTATACCATTTTCACTTTAAATTCACCACTTTTCAAACCAAATTCACCACTTTTCAAACCAAATTCACCACTTTTCAAATCAAATTCACCACACTTATTAGACCGGGCAATTCATCAACCAGATCACGCCAGACACCACTGCGAGCCCCGCCCCGACGGTCACGCCTACTTGTCAGCGCGGAA